TACGTACGCTCATTTGCTTAACTTTCCCTCGATGAATCTCATTCTGTTTGTACTTACGTATACTCATTTGCTTCACTTTCTCTCGATGAATCTCATTCTGTCTGTACTTGCATACACTCATTTGTTTTATTTTGTCTCGATAAGATGCACATTTTCTATAAGCAATTTTGTTGGTCAAGTTCTTATCCTCCTTGTGCACCAAATCTTGTTTATATCTACTTCTGATTTGTGATTTGATATTTTCCCTATATGCCAATTGGGTTGAATACTGAACATGTTTCTTCCAGGTCTTCTTTCGATTTAAATACGTAGAGAAATTGTGTGGACTTTTAAGAGTTTCTACATTTTTTTCTGCATTTACAGGTATTCTTTTTCTTGAACGTAGGTAGTGTTTCTCTGATAAATCACTGACTTTACAAAATTCAAAGCAAGTTTTATCATCAACACCTTTTAGACAAATAACTGGTTGAAAATGACCAATACAGTTTTGTAGATATATTCCTTGATTGTTGAAATGACTGCTGTTGCAACTATATTTAATCCACTTTATGCCATTAAATACATAAATGTGTAGTCCCAACATATTTGCTGTTGCTACAATTTCAATATCTGTGGCACAGTGATCTAGATACTTGATCTGTGACTTGTCCACATATTCTAACACAGAAGCAAAGTCTTTTCCCAGGAACTTTTCAAATTTCTGTGTATTATTTGTCATGTATGAAATAGCAGCAAGCCGAATTTTACGATGACTTTTCTGAGAACCACTAACTGTATGAGCAACAGCTCTGAAGAAGCTGTTATTGTCTTGTACTATATTTTTAGTTTTACACACATTTCCTAAAGACCCAGATGTAGGTTCTTGAAAACTGTGTTTGTCAAAATCAATATTCAACCTGTTGCAAAGAGCTTGACCAACATTTGCAGACAGAGGAGTAAATAAAAAAGTGTTTTCATCATGATTATCAATAATTCCAACACAATCATCATTTTTTTGAAACCTCACTTCATCTTTGTCAATTTCCACAGATACAACCTTATGTTTGGCAGAAGATTGTCGAGTTCTACATTTCACTGAAACATCTTTAGTCATGCAATAACCATAGCATGTTTGTGAATTAGGTGATTTAACACAAACAACTGTTTCATAATGATTACCATTGACATTTTGCAAATAAATGCACTGATTTGTTGAAGTACTCTGAGTACTATATTCAAGCCATTTATCAGTACAGTATGTCAATATGTTAAGGCCCAAAAAATCAGCTGAAGCTTGAATCTCAACTTCAGTTGCCCAACTGCCAACATACTGCATCCTTGATAAGGCTAGATATTCTGACATTGAAGAGTAACCACTTCTTAAAAAACTCTCATATGTGTGTGAATTTTTCTGTAAATGCTTTACAATAGCGCGCCTAATTTTTCCATGCCCTTTCTGAGTACCACTAATACTTTGACTAAGTGCCCTAAAAAAACAGTTTCCATCTCCTACTATTTTTTCGGTCAAACATGGCACATCTAGTTCTCCAACTGGACCAAATGCTGAATTGTTTTTTTCAGACTCTAAATTTAGCTTTTTGCATAGTGACTGTGCAACATGGTCAGAAAGGGGGTTAAAATACAAAACTTTACTTTGGATATTACTAACAAAAAGAACTGAATCGTCATTGTTAGTATGAGTCATCTTGATATTTTGTGATAATTCATGGGTTTTTTGTCTTACTTTCTCTTTTATCTCTTCTGGATATGAATCGTCAGACATATCACCACTGAAAAAATTATTATCAAAACGATCACTGGTATCTGGAACAGGAATTACATGTTCAGATATATTTTTTTTTGCATGGGTCTTGAGTTTTTTTGATAATTTAAGTTGGGAGAATTGATCTGGATTTTTGCTTGCGCACTCTTGTACCTCTGGTACACATGCATTGCCAGGGAGATCACCACAGGAAAAGTCATCACCAAAAGGATCAGTGCTGTCTTGAAGAACTATTGTACATTCAGATACATTTGTATTTGAGTCCATCGAAATAATATCAATTCCAGTGATCTCAAACTCCTTGGAACTGTATGTCAGTTCATTGGCAAATTTGTTAACATAGTTAAAGACATCGTGAATAGTACTGAAGTACAAAACAACACTGTTCCCATCTGCATCTACCATGCCTTCTTTATTGCGGGCATGAGAGTCCACGATAGCATAACTATCATTCTGTCTGATGACAGCACAAGTACTGCTGTTCAGGGTTAGGCAGCAGGTTTCATACTTTGCACACATCTTGTTCAGTCCATCCCAAAGACTAGTCACGACGTTACCATCAATGAAATCTCCTTCCACCAGATCCACATTTCCACGAACATAGTCTTTAGAATAAACATAGTCATAAGTCTGTCCATAAAACTTATGTTTTTTAGGCAATTCAGACATCAAGAGAAACCCTTCTGGATCACTGATTGACTTTCTATCAAGCAAATCATTATACAGATCGTCACCTGCAACCAGGACATTATCCAACACGTTAGCATTCCATGAAAAAACACTCTTCTGCGTGTGCTTTGTTAAAGCTGCCAAACTTATGGCTGCACACTGCTTTCCGCCCTTTTTAAATCGACCATCACCTTGATGAAATGATCCACTGAGTGATGTGAGGTGATTACTTGCACTGAAACGATGACAAGCATGTGTAACCTGTCTTTCAGCAGTTCCTGTTGAACATTTCTCCATGTCAGTGTACGTGTGTTGTACGGAAATGGGAGAAAGTCCAGACTCAAGTCCAGGCTCAAGTTCCACTTGACTTGATTTGTTTTTTGTCACAGTCAATTTGTTTTTGTGCATCTGTCGTTTCTTGGTTTTTGTGCAATTGGCACCCAGAACCTCTTGTCCACGGTCATGTTTCAATAAAGTACTGTCAAAATGCCCTGTTGTAGTTTGATCAGAAATGTTCAATGAAGTGTTGGCACCATAGCATCCACCTGTAGCCTCTCTTTCTGCAATTTCTGATGAACATTCCTGCACATCAAACTTGGTCTGTTCGACAGAAATGGCAGAAATAGAGTACTTTCTTGCATCTAAAGAGTCCCGAAGGTTCTTAATGTGCAAGATTAAATCATGTAGACATGTGTTAAACACAACTACAGATGTACCATATCTGCTGTGTGATGCCAACCCTTGTGGATTGCGTCTTCCACAGTCCACAACAGCAAAGTACTCTCCGTGCTGGATAACCAGAAGAGGTGCACCGTCAACATTCAAGATACACGTTTGATGTTGTGACAAGTGTTCAAGTATGTCTTTGGACAATTGCTCCTCTGTGTCAAAATCAAATGTACCAGAAGCCACGTTCCCATTGAAAATTTTCCACTTTCGACCAAAAATAGTTCGCTGCTCAACCGAGGTACACAACTTGTGAGTTATGCCTCTGTACCGTAGAGCAGCAGAATATTTTGCCAACTTAATCCCTTCCACATCCACTTCATCTAGATCTGATGGCTTCCAAGTACAAATGGGAGAAATGTTGTGTTTTTGAACTGCTACATAACAAGATGACATTAATGTAGCAAAGTTTGTTTTAGCCCAATTTGTTTCGGACCAAGACTCGAGTGTTCCTTGAATCACAGCACGTGGAGTACTTTCTGAACACACACAAGGAATGGGGTCAACAGACTGACCTGTGGGTGATGTTGGCGTGTCCTTCTCCTCATCAGGCGTCTAAAGTGAAAATATAATAAAAAAGAGGTTTCAGTATTGTCACTACTTTTAAAAACCTATATATATCCTGATGCATACTATCTATCTATCTATCTATCTATCTATCTATCTATCTATCTATCTA